GTATGTATGTATGCGTGTATGCATGTCGTACACGTGTGGATGTTTGTAAAACGTAAGCCATGGTAAATATGATAATTTCGTCGCGCATGCAGACTTGCGACAAACGCAGAGACCTATACATGCATGCATACCTACACACCCATGCACACACAGATCCGCAAGCACAACTATAGTCATGCACGCACACACACACACACACACTCACATGCCCTTGCAGGGTGCAGCTTGTCACAAGATGAGATCAGCATCGTGGACCTGAAACGGGCTCCAGCAGTTGCCTGAGCTTCTTGAGATGCAGGTCCAAGAGTGCTTATGCGATACCCAATTTAGCAGATGACTTAAGCCGTGCCTGAAGATGCCTGCGCGAGGCCTTCAGCAGCCTCCGGAAAGATGCCGTGTGTCACTTGCCAGAACTGTCTGCGTGGAACATGAACTCTGCGCAATTTGTCTGACTTTGCCCATGCTTTGAGAGGTGATGTTCAAGAGACTGCGAGTGTCGCCACGCTTGTGTTTGGCACTTCTGGCCTCCTCCTCAAGCATCACGGTCAGCACACGCCGCAATGTAGCTCGATGATGCTCGGCACAGACAAGCGAGGTCTTGGAAGTGTCGGGTGCCCTGGTCCGGCTGAGTGCGCGAGCACCAGAGCAGTTTAATTCTTTCCTGGGCCAACTGCCTGTGGTTGGCAGTGCGCGACTATAAGGCGACGGAGCAGACAGTGCGCCTCTCCCACCCGGTGGTGAACCTTGCCGGTTTCTAAGCATGGGGGCCCATGGGGGCCCTACGTGCCTACGTGTCATCTCCAGCCTACGCAGCGCAGAACCTGATCAGGACGACGAGGTCGTTGACCTGCAGAGGCAGACATCGGAGCCGCTCCTGCTACGGATTAAGAGATTTGTACTGCAAAGCTGCTTCTTAGTGTTTGAGGTCTGTGCGGGAGCTTTGCTGCCAGCCTTCTCCGGAGGCTCGGATCATCTCGAGTTTCACAGTTCCTCAAGCATTCAGGTTTCAGGACGGGCTTTCAGAGCTTACAGTACTTACTGCCACGTGGTTTGCACTGAAGCATGGCACCGACCGCAATTTTCGAGAGAAGATCGAACGACGACAGACCTTCAAGCGGAAGGTGCGTGACGCTGCCGGGCCAGATTCGCTAGTGGTGGACCCAGCTTTTCCTTTGAGGATGATGTGTGGACAAGGCCCACACGCTCCCAAAGTCACGGTTTATGCCTTTTTCGCTGCTGGGTTTGGGGCTGACGCTTCATGACGTGTTGCACCCAAGAACTTAAGTACTGCACCGAGTGCTTCAACGTTAGTTTCCACGGGCCACATGCAGCTGCCGGAACGGTTTGCACGGCGGGCCGGATTGCTCACGTCCAGTTCGCCATCCTATTTCTAACTCCCATTTCTGCTGCGTACTGGTAGCTGCAGCAGTAGCAGGAACAGCAGCAGCAGCAGCATCAAGCAGAACTAGAGGGCTTCACCAAGGATAGCGTGCGGCCTGGCGAGTCGCAGGATGAGGCCATCAACAAAGTTCTGAGTTGCGCGAGTGCTGGAGAGGTTTTGGTTTAGGGAGCGGTGTAGTGAAGTCGGGGAGTGGAATGAGCCAGTGCTTCAAGCTGCTGGCTCTCTCCCGACAGCTCCCAGTCTTGGCGTGATGTTTTGCAGGTGACTCTGCCAGTCAGGACTCGGGTGAAGGAGCGGCAGGGGCCCTGGTCCTCGAGATGCAGAAAACTTGCCACTGGCCTCGTTCTTTCTCCCTCCGAGGATCGTGCCTCACTACTCCCCGGTGCTACTTCCCGGAACGTCGAAATGCCGGCAGTTTGAGCTGCGAGCTCAGACGAGCTCAGGGGAGCTCAGAGGCTCAGAAGCCGTGAGTCCCCTCTCCGACTCTCCGAAGCCGAGGTTCCATCCTCTGCAGCCTGACATCATGCTGGTGGGGGATAAGGATGGCCGGGTGAAGATCGTGAATACAGGCAGGCTCCATGCTCAAAGCCTGCTTTAACCTCGGGTTCCATGCAAGTGTCACAGAATTCCATCTCTGAGTTGGCACAGTGTCAGGTACTCATGAGCGACGAGTTCGACCTGCCACTCAGGTGCCATGGCATGAAGCCAGAGCTTTGGGACGGATTCGGCCAGACAAACCCAGTGAGAACTCGAGCTTCAGAGGTAGACAACTGCGCTCTGCTCGGGCTGTCCTGGTTGCGGCACGCTCCCAATATTGCAGCCTGCTCCCCGGGTTAACGTGAAGTGGACACCATGCCGTGCTTAATTACGTACCGGCCGAGGTTTGCGGAGGATCAACTTCCGGATCGATTCAGTTCCTCAGGCGACCTGTTCTTGCCTTTCTTTTGGGCAACATTTCCACTTAAACAAGCCGACCCCACAACCCCGTTGGACGGACGTGCCGAATGGCTTCGAGGGATCCTGTGAAAAAGCTCCCCCGGAACTGTGGAACTTACGGAGCGGTCGAAAGCTAAGTACCCTGTAGCATTCGCGACACCGCCTGGGCTAGCCTCGTGAAATCATTGGACCGGTAGCACTCGTAAAAGCGAAGTCCTCGCATGTCTGTGCGTACTCAGATAGCGGCTTGTGCAGAGCAGCGGTATGGAATTCTGGGGAAATGGGATGCTGGGGCGCGCCGGCAGGTATATCCCAGATGCGAGGCTCGTCGCGACGTTGAGATTGCACGAGCGACTCCGAAACCCTCCCTCCATTGCCAGGCCAGGATCCCCAGCGTTGGCCAGGGCCGCCACCGTGCAGGAGAAGTTTATTCCGAAGCTGTCGTCCTTAAGACTGAGCCTGAGAGGTCGCTGGGAGAAGAGGGAGACTACGGGCCTGTTCTGGTAGCGGGGAGCAAGTTCGTTTACTGGGTCTCCCAGGCGTGAACTGCTCCGACAACTTCCTCCTGGCCTCGGGGATCTCATCTTCCATTCGCATCTTCGATATAGAGCGGGACGCACAGCAGGGCCCAGGTTGAGCAGGGTCCAAGAGAGACACTGACGCCAAGGACAGGCAAAGTCACCAGCAGAGGGAGCGACGTGCACGAGCACTTCATCAACATCAGCTTCTTGCTGGCGCTTCATCTTGCAGAGACCTGCATGGGCAGACAGTTTTGGACTTCCAACCTCTTCCAACGACCAGCTCTTGTTTCTGTATGTGTTTTGTATGTGTGTGTGTGTGTGTGTGTGCGTGAGACCAAGGTAGATTCTGCAATACCTCGCCACACATCTTTGCAACAGCCGCGTTGGCATGTATTGTCGCTCAGTTTCGCCGGCGTCCGTACACGCAGCTGAACCTATAGTAACAGCACCTCCTATAGTTTACTAGTAGCGATGACGATCAGGTTGACGAAGCTGATGAAGGCGATTGTGATTATGATGTTCACGTGATGACGTTGGTGACATTTATGTTGAAGCGCGAGCATGATCGGACTGAGGATGTTGCTGGTTGCCGATGAGGCTTCTGAAGATCAGAAGGAAGAGGGGCCAGCCGACACAGAACACTGCAAGGATGGTGATGGTCATGGCCATGATGATCATAATGAGTGACGATGGTGCATGAAGGTGATGGTTGTGAAGGCCTTGGGGATGTCCATGATGCTGATGAGTGACGCTGATGATCATGATGACAGCCAAGGTCATGACGATGGCGATGCTGATCATGATGGTGTGTTGACGGCGGTGATATCAGTGGTGGTCATGGTGCAGCCTCTATTGGCACCGCTGCCGCTGCTGATGATGAGGATGATTAGGATGTCGTGGGGAGCAAAAAACGGCATGAGCCGAAGGCGCTGCTTCGAAGGTTTTCTTTGAGGTGCCTCTTAGGCTCATACTTAACTTAATCCGGCGCGACTGGGTTCGTGTCACCCGCACCAGCTCTGGCAGGCCTCCTTCGACCACACCTGCAAGATATGGGACCTCCGGCGTCCACTGAAACGGCAGAATCCTTTGAAGACCCTTCGGACCGGCGGCCCGACGCACAGCTGACTGCCGCACACGGTCACAGTCGCAACATTTAGTAGCCTCAGTAGTGCTCGTTATGTGGATCATCGTGCATGACGCTCCCTCAGGCCACAACGTTATGGGCACCTTTTCTCCAGATGACAGGTCGGCTTTCTTACAAGTATCCTTCTTGGCGTTTTCAAACCCATTTTGTTGGCACATTCTGCGTCATTCGGTTCTTGCCAGGCTATTCCTCTGCAGCGGACTTGACACGCGACTTTGGCAGTTCGAGGCATCCATGAATCCATGAGTTGCTCGTGATGCGAGCAGCATGCTTACATTGTCAGATGCACTAAATGATTTGGGCTTGAATGAACACAGCTGGCAGCAGCAGCAGCAGGAGCAGGA